CAAAACCCAACAAAACAACAACTGCACAACTTTTTTTTCTGTATATCTCGCACAAAATTTGCACTAGAATGGGGCTCATCTACTGAATGCTGCACCCTGGAGACGTTTAAAGGGGTGGGAACGGTGTGTGTTTGACCTGAGGTGGTCATTTTTGGGGGGAATTTTTGGTTCTGATTCTTTACAGATCCTAACAGATTGACAATTTTCCCCATTGACACCAAAGAAGGCCTTAAGGACACATAATTAAACATTACTTTCGTACTTTGAGCGACAACTTACGAAATGAATTGGTGGTGAGAAAATGTTCAATAAAAAAAGCTCTCGGCTCTTTACTAATCTTAACCATGATCTCAACCGGCAAAGGAAACTTGAGAAAAAGTACCTGCACATTCTGTTAGCCTGCCTACTGCAGCTTGCAATATGCCCCAATCTTTGGGACTTTTAGTGATCGGCCTAATGCGAACTAGTGCGTCATTCTACAAAATGGGGACATAGCTGGAAAAGGGTTGTTTTTTAAAAATGTGCTATGTTGAGAAAAACTATTTTGTGGATTTATCTACAATGAATATCAGACAAATTCCTTTTTCTTCCAAAATGTTGTGTACAAATTTGAAACACAAAACTTCGATGTGTAGCAAAATATTTAGAAAAACGTTTTTTTTTTGGTTTTTTTTTGGGGGGGGGGACACCCTGTATCTATATCTATCTCTGTCTGTCTGTCTGTCTGTCTGTCTGTCTGTCTGTCTGTCTGTCTGTCTGTCTGTATATCTATCATACAGCCAGTTTTGAGTTCAGATTGGGTTCACCAGTACAGCAGTCCAACAAGCAACTAACTGAAGTCGTCTTATGTAGCGACCAGCAATGACATCATCACAATGTCAGCTAAAATATTGCAAAACATCTTTGACCCCTTCTCTCTCTAAACGAACGCTCAACAAGAAAGCGAGAAAACAACATCAAAAAGTAACAACAAAAAGCACCCACTCTCCCCCAAAAGAAGCACAACAACAACAACAACAACAACAACAACAACAACAACAACAACAACAAGCAAACAAACAAACAAACGCCCCCCTTCAAAAAATAAAACAACCCAAATCCCCAAACAAAATATACTATTGAAAGAACCCCC